GTATATATGGCTAAAGAATTGTGTACAGGTGCCAGGTTGGCAAGGGGTGGATTGAGATAGTTTATTGTGCCAGCCTGGTTGATAAACACAAGTGGGATTAACTGAAGGGCAGAGAGATAAATGGCTGGGTGAGCCTTGCCTTTCTTGTCTCTCGCTCTGTGATCATCGGACCAGTGTGTGGCTGCCTTGCTTGTTCTGTGCCTCAATTTAAAGGCTACTACCTGTGGAATGCCTAGCCTGTGGACTGTGTTGCTGTCAGTAGAGGTCCCTTTAAGACATCTCTGGAGCTGGGGACTGGCGGTTGGTGACCTGCCTTGTGATTGGCATCTGTGCTGACAAAACCTAACTTTCTCTACAAATAGAGGAAGATCTGGCAGCAGACTAGACTTGAAGAACTGCTGGTCTCTCAATTTTCTCTCCTGGATGTGAGTTGCACTGAGCCATTTGTAGTGCTTTATAATTTAACTGTTTATTTCTTGTATTATATATTTATCTGTATATGATTTAATAGTTCATTTCTTGTTATATATCTAATTATCTTTTAAATAAATGTAATAAATTATCAGCAATTTGATTTTATCTTTCTAGAGAATCCTATCTAACACAGCTGGTATTATAAAAATGATGAAATTTAATCAAAATAACCTGCAATAGGGCCCAAAGTAAAGAATGGCAGACTTAAATCTGGAAAATACTAAAGTCAACTGATTCTGTTACTGTGTAGCTGTGATAGATTTCATTTGGGACTCATCCATGCGGTAGCTTAAATCAAACACTCATCCCTCCTTAGTGTTAACTAATATTCTTCTGTATGAATATACCAGGTGTTTAAATTCACTTGCTGATGGACATTTAGGTTGGGTCATGTGTTTGGTAATTATAAAGATATGCTCCAATGAACATTTGTTTTTGAGCTTTGTGTGAACATACGTTTTAATTTCTCTTGAGGAGCCCTACAGGCACAGTGGTTACATGCTGGGCTGCTAAGCACCAGGTCAGCAATTCAAAACCACCAGCCAATCCTCTGGAGAAAGAAGAGACTTTCTATTCCCATGAACAGTCACAGTTTGGGAAACCCACTGGGGCCCGTTCTACTATGTCCTCTAGGGGCGCTATGAGTCAGCATAAACTCGATGGCAGTCAGTTGTTTTTTCATTTTGTTTTGTTTATTTGTTTCTTTGAGGAGGAAATGTAAAATATTTTAACTTGTTATAATTTACAAATGATTGGACTAGAAAAGAGGCTTCAAGCGCTCCTTGCTTTGTTTTCTTGACAAAGGAGTGACTGAATTTAAAATTTGAAATTGTTTTCTAACAATCAAATTTGGATGATTAGAGGAAACAATTTTGCCTTTTGAACAAAAATATTAATCGAATGCCCTATAGTATATCAGGAACTGTCCGCTGTCATTTTCTGTATAAGTACTCTGAGACTGTAAAAAATCTTTTAAAAAGTTATTATTATCATATTGTTTTTCAGTGGTAAAAAAAAAATCAACTGAGATAAAAGAAAGTTGAAATGCAGCAAGACAATGACAGGCTAAAGTTTGAATTGAGCATTTGACTTCAAACTCATGCTCTTAACCACATGCCATATTTGCTTTTCATTTTTAGATTTTTAGATTTCTTTGGTTTACTTCTCTAACTGTAGGGAGAAAACATAATTTCTAACAAATTTACTTTACAGGAGAAATAGAAATGTGGTCACTGTTTATTCTGATATGTTTGACCCATGCATATGGAATGGCATATAATTCCAGTGAACATCTTAAACCTGTCAATCCTGAGTCCTGGATGAATATTGTAAGTTATCCCTTATAAAATGTACAGAATTACTGTTGGGGAGAAACAAAGCCATAATTACTGAAGTGTAAAAGTTACTTTAGTGAAAATACTAAAATAATGTGTTTGATACTGTTTTTAAAATTAAAACTTCAATGTTTTCTCTTTATTCCACGTAGGGTCAGATAATTTCATACTGGGGTTACCCACATGAAGAATATGAAGTTGAAACTGAAGATGGCTTTATCTTGGGAACCTACAGGATTCCTCACGGCAAAGTAAACTCTAATAATTCAGGTATGTGTGACTAGAAGTACTGCTCAGTCATCCCACCAAGTCAATACTGACCCATACAGAACAGGGCAGGCCTGCCCATGAGTTGCCAAGACTGTAACTCTTTACAGGAGTTGAAAACTATGTCTTTCTCCTGTAGCGCTGCTGGTAATATTGAACTGCAAGCCCTGCAGTTCACAGCCAACATATAACCTCTAAGTCAGCAGGGCTCCTAGAAATGCTTCATAATGGGAAATATTTATCTTCTCCAAAATGCGATGTATAATGGGTTCTGGCATTAGCTCAAACCTGAGCCATCATGAGATGAAAATCCCCATTCTGGGAAAAGACCCAGACTCCATATGTGTGTATGCTGGTATGTGTGTGAGTTTCAAGGTTTCCCCCATTGGTTCAGGTGTGAGGATTTTGATCTTCTTTACATTGAGTTGCGGTCCAGACTGAAGTCTGCAGTCCTTGAGCTTCATTAGCAAGTGTTTCAAGTCCTTCTTACTTTCAACAAGTAAGGTTGTGTCATCTGCACATTACAGGCTGTTAATAAGCCTTCTTCCAATATTGATGCCACATTCTTCGTACAATCCATCTTTCCTGATTATTTGCTCAACATACAGATTGAACAAATATGGTGAGAGGATACAACCTTGATGAACACTTTTCTTGATTTTAAACCATGTAATATTCCCTTGTTTTGTTTACACAGATGCCTCTTGATCCATGTACAAGTTCTGTAGGAGCACAATGAAGTGTTCTAGAATTCCCATTCTTTTCAAAGTTACCCATAATGTATTATAGTCCACACAGTCGAATGTTTTTGCATAGTCAATATAACCCAACTAAACAATTTTCTGGTGTTCTCTGCTTTGAGCCAAGAGCAATCTGACATCAGCAATGATAATCCATGTTCCATGTCCTCTTCTGAATCTAGCCTGAACCTCTGGCAGCTCCTTGTCAATGTACTGGTGCAACTGTTGTTGTATTGTCTTCAGCAAACTTTTACTTACATGTGATATCAATGATATTATTGTGTAGTTTGAGCATTCTGTTGAGTCACTTTTCTTTAAAATAGGCACAAATATGGATCTTTCGCAGTCAGTTGGCCAAGTAGCTATCTTCCAGGTTTACTGGCAGAGATGAGTGAGTGCTTCCAGTGCTTCATCAGCTTGTTGAAATATTTCAATTGATACTCTATCAATTCTTAGAGCCTTGTTTTTGGCCAATGCATTTAGTGCAGGTTTCACTTCTTTTCTTTATCATCATTGGTTTTTGTTCAAATGCTACTCCTGAAATGGTGGACTAGCTCATTTTGGTACAGTGACTGTGTATTCTATTCATCTTCTTTTGATGCTTCCTGCAACCCTCAATATTTTGCCCTTCATTCAATATTTTGACTGTGTATAGAGCTTTTGAAAATTGTTACAATATTGTTTGTGAAATTAAAAAGAAAAATTCTATAAATTTTCCCAAGAATTTATTGACTTGAGTATATAATTGTTTTATAGACCTTTACGTTTTTTGTTCAGCTTGATTTAATGCAGGATGATTCCTGAGTATGTGTGTCTCATGCATTAATACCTTCTTGTAGACTTGGTCATTAAAACTACTTTTTAAAATGTGTATATTACATAAAAGCTATCATTTCACCCATAATTTCATTACTTATTAGGTTACATGCCTGGTAAGAAATAAACTCTCTTGTACTACCTATTGTCCTTAAAATGAAACAAGAGAACTGGGTCAGAAGTGTTCTAGAAGAGATGTTGCCTGGGGACTGTTACTAACATTGCTTTCTGTTCACACTTCAGCTCCAAGGCCTGTTGTGTTTTTACAGCATGGGTTACTTGCATCTGCCTCTACCTGGATTTCCAACCTCCCCAGTAACAGCCTGGCATTCGTTCTGGCAGATGCTGGCTACGATGTGTGGTTGGGAAACAGCAGAGGAAACACCTTTTCGCGAAAGCACGTAAACTTGTCTCCAGAGTCCAAAGAATTCTGGGCCTTCAGGTAGAATACTTGGAAAGATGTTTTTCTGTATGTATTGTGTTATATGTCCAACAAAGGTTTTATTTTTTTAATTCCATTTTTATCTACTCCTTTTCAATTTTGTTTATTATTGTTGTTAATACTATATAAAGGAGAACATAGACCATTTCAACATTTTTAATATGTACAATTAAGTGACATTGATTATTTTTAATTATCACTATTTTTGTGAAGATTGAGTAAAATACCTTTTTTTGAAGGCTGCCAAATTTTTGTAGACATGAAAATGAAAGTAATTCTGTGTTATGTCAGAGCAGAACTTCAAGTTCACAAGAGATGAATGTACTATAGATGTTATTTTTATAGTGTTGGAATGAGTAACATTCACCTATTTGTCGAAAAACTAAACTTATAAATCAAAGTGCATTTTGACTCACTTTGGTTTCAATTTCAATAGTTTTGATGAAATGGCCAAATATGACCTTCCAGCATCAATCAACTTCATTATAAAGAAAACTGGACAAGATCAGATACACTATGTGGGGCATTCTCAAGGCACGCTTACTGGTATGTTTAGATTCTTTGATATCTGATCATCTACAACTCTTCCTCATCGTGAAACCCTTGTCCATTGCTAGAATTCTTTGAGTTTCTTTGCAGAGATGATGGCGAACATTGGGTAAAGTGGGAACTGGGACAAAATATTTACTGACCTTACAGTTCAAACAAATAACTAAATTCCAGGGGGTGAAAAAGATAATGCTCAAATATGTATGGTTAAGAATTTGATCTCAGAGTTGTGTGGGATTGCAAACAATGTAAAGTGACATGGACATCCATCTTTGGGGGACTGGCTAACCACACTATAATATATCCAGTTAATGATCCATGGGCATATCAGCAAAATCATGTTTTTAGAAAAGTACTCAAAATATAAAGAAATATCCTAATCATAATCTTTATAGGTCTCTCGAAATATAGCTTTCTTGTAACTAAACTGAATGTATTTGTTCATTAATGTGAGAAGATGCATGATGATACTTCTTACATATATTTTTCTTTGTTTCAGCATTTATAGCATTTTCTTATATTCCTGGGTTGGCTCAAAAGATCAAAACTTTTTTTGCACTAGCACCAGTCTTCTATCTTGGACACATAAAAGGTGTAACAAAACTGGCCCTAACACTTCCTCCTATAGTATACAAGGTAAGCATGCTATTTATCTCATTGAAATTGGTAAGAGTACATATTAGCTCTATTTTTACCATTTTTCAACTCGCTCAATTAGAGCAAATTGTTATAAAGGCTGACAAAGCAGGAAGATGGCACTGAAAGAATACTCTTACTCTGAGCCAGGAGACCGGTGTGCATGCTGAACCTAGAAAAAGTAACAGAAATAGTTTTCATTTCAATTTCTTTATACATAAACAAAACACTTGGTCAAACTGATCAGTGACTCTTTTTTAAAAGTTCCTATATTATAAGAATACAAAGATATCAGAAAATTACTTATAAAACTAATGATTCCATACAATCTTATCCCTCTTTTTATGCTTCCTAAGTCACTGCTTTGCTTTCACTCTTGTGGTTAGGTGGCATCGCGTCAGTTTCTACTCGTCGTGACCCTCTGAACAGCAGAATGGAACTCGGTCAGCCTGAGGCCAATCTCACAATTCGTTTCATGCTTCAGCCCACTCTTGCAGTCACTGTGTCAACTCGTGTTGCTGAGGACCTCCCTCTTCTTCTCTGGCATGCTGCCTTATCAAATAGGATGTCTTTTACAGGGACTGATCCCTCATGAAATGGTAACAAAATATTTTAGACAAATCTCGCCACCCTTGCATCTAAGAAGCATTCTAGCTGTATTTCTTCCAACACAAATGTGTGTGGTTTTTGACAGTCAGTGGTACTTTCAATATTCTTTGACAGCACTGTAATTCAAATACATAAATTCTTCTTTGTTCTTCCTTATTCAACATCCAACTTTCGCATGCATATAAGGCCATTGAAAATACCATGAATTGAGTCAGGCACACCTGAGTCCTCAAAGTAAAATCTTTGCTTTCTTACACTGGAAAGAGGTGTTGTGTAGATTTGGTAGATTATCATATGCAATGCTTCATTTAATCTCTTGACTGATCATTGATTGTGAATCCAAGTAAAACAAAATTCCTGACAACTTTAATTTTTCTTATTTACCATGTTAACTAGTAGTCTAGTTGTGAGGATTTTTGTTTTCTTTACATTGAGTTGTAGTCTATACTGAAGGCTGCAATCCGTGATCTTTATCAACAAGTGCTTCAAGTCCTTCTCACCTTCAGCAAGCAGCTTGTGTTACCTGCATATGACGAGCTGTTAATGAACTTTCCTCCAGTCCATTCTTCTTTATACAATCCTGCTTCTCTGATGATTTGCACAGCATACAGATTGAATAAATACGATGAGAAGATACAACCCTGATGCACACCTTCCCTGATTTTAAACCAGGCCGTATTTCCTTGTTCTTTTTACACAACTGCCTCTTGCTCCATGTACAAGGTCTACATGAACAAAATGAAATGTTCTAGAATTCACATTCTTTTCAAGACTATCCATAGCTGTTATGATCCACACAGCCTTCACATAGTTGATGAAACACAAATAAACATCTTTCTGGTATTCTCTGTTCAGTCAAGGTTTATCTGACTTCAGCAATGATGTCCCTTGTTCCACATCCTGTCCTGAAACTGGTCTGAACCTCTAGGCACTCCTTGTCAATTTATTGCTGCAACTGGTGTATGATTTTCAGCAAAATTTACTTGCATGTGATGTTCATGATATTGTTCAATAATTTTAGAATTGTTTTGGGTCACCTTTCTTTGGAATGGATATAAATATGGAACTGCATAATACAGGCTGTTAATAAGCCTCATTCCAGTGTTGATGCGGCGTTCTTCTCCATACAGTCTAGTTTATCAACTTCTCTGCTTAACATGCAGATTGAATAAATCTGGTGAATGGATACAATCTGTCACATATTTTTCCCTATTTTAAACCATTCAGTATTCCTTTGTCCTGCTAGCAGAGTGTCTCCTGGTCCATGTTCAATTTCACACAAGCACAATGAAGCATTCTGGAATCCCCCTTCTTATCAGCACTATTCATAGTTTGTTATGATACACACAAACAGATGCTTTTGCATAGTCAATGAAACACAATTAAACATCTTTCTTGTATTCCCTACTCTCATCCTAGATTCATTAGGTATTAGCAATGATATTCATGGTAGCAATGAAATCCACATCCTTTTCTGAATCTTGAATTTCTGGATATAGGAACACTGGTGGCATAGTGGGCTATGTGTTGGCTGTTAACTGCAAGATAAGCAGCTCAAATCTTAGGAGAACAATAAGACGTTTCTACTTTTGTAACAAGTTACAGTCTCAGAAACCCACAGGGTCAGTTCTGTTCCCTTTTATAGGTTGGTGTGAGTCAGCAGTGAGCTTACTTTTTTGGGTTGGCCTGTGGATGTACTGCTACAAGCATTGTTGAATGATCTTCAGCAAAACTTTACTTACATGGGATGTTGATGATATTGTTAGATAATTTCCATATCCTGTTGGGTCCCATTACTTTGGAAGGGTTACAAATATGGGTATCTTCCAATCAGTTGTCCAGGTACCTGAATTATAGATTTCTTGGCCCAGACAAGTGAATGTTTCCAGTGCTTCACTAGCTTGTTGAAATATTTCAACTGGCATTCCATCCATTCCTGGAGTCCTGCTTTATGCTACTGCTTTCAGTGCCACTTAGACTTCTTCCTTCAGAACCACCAGTCCTTGATCATATGGAGCCTCTTGAAGTGGTTGAATATCAACTATTTCTTTTTGCTACAGCAACTCTGTATTCCTTCTATCTTCTTTTGATATTTATGGTATCATTATATTGGTGATATTTTACTCATAGACTCTTTTGTTGTTGTTGTTTTGGAGGTGGGAAAGAGGTGAACTACGAAAGGGATATTCAGCCATATAAAATGTAAAGAATGTTATAAAAAGTTTATCTTTTTCTAAAATGTATGTTGGGTTTTAATTTCTGATACCAAGGATATAATTTCTTAGTATTAACTTTAGATTGTGGCATTATAATATTACATCTTGAACTACTACAGTGGTATTCTGAATGCCTTGCTGCCACAGTGGAGTGTGTGTGTGTGTGTGTGTGTGTGTGTGTGTGTGTGTGTGTGTTTGTGTGTGCAGGGTGAAACATTTTTTTTTCAATTCAAATTTTATAGGTTATATTTCCTCACCATGAAGTCCTCCCACAGACCATTTTAAACAGAATTGTTGCGACTACCGTGTGCAATAATAATATAATGGATGTCATCTGTTGCAAGATCAACTTTGCTCTTTATGGATTTGATCCAAAAAGTCTAAATAAGGTAAGCACCAATTCGAATTTTTCCAGAAAACATTTCAGGTAAGATTACTACCTGAAAATTGCATTCATGTTTTGAACTTTCATTCCAAGAGTTCAACCATTCATCAAAAGAATGGTCACATTATCAAGAATACAAACTGCAAAAAGTTTAATGTATTGTGAAACCTTAAGCATAAAAATAATATTACATTCATGTATATTACATAAAAGGCAAAGTCATTTAAGATGAACTTTTTAATGTATGGCTTATAAGGTGGAGAAAATATAATTGAAGGTATTAGTTGCTTATACTCATATAATTATGTCTTAATGTATAACTGACAAATGTTATTATAGCATAAATTCAGGAATTCAAGTAACATCATCATCCTTTAAATGAGTATCTGCAGCATGTTCCAGTTGATTAGTTCATTAGGTTTCAAATCCTTGAGATGAAATAATGATTGTTAATATATCTTCCCAGAGTCGTTTTGATGTGTATTTGTCACAAAACCCAGCAGGAACCTCCCTTCAGGATATATTCCATATTCTGCAGGTAAGGTCTTCCAAGAATTTTGAACAAGTTTTAGTTTTGTTGCATAACTGTCAAACTTCCTTTATGATATTGCCTCCTGATGTCAGGGTAGGGAACTGTGTTAGTCCCGGTGGACTAGAGAAACAAATCAATAGACATACATATGTGTGTAGGAAAGAGCTTTATATACAAGAGCAATTGAATATTGTGAAAGCACCCCAGCCCAGTCCAGATCAAGTCCCTAAATTTGATATCAGCCCATATGTCTGATACTAATCTATAAAGTCCTCTCAGACTCACAAAACACATGCAATGATGTCAAATGCAGGAAGATCACAAGCCAATGGGTGGGAAATCTTGTGGATCCAGTGACATTATAAGCATCTCAGTACTGGCAGGGGACTCTACATGGCTCCTCCAGTTCAGGGCTCTTGTCAGCTGCAATGTCTTGCAGGGAGCGAGCCTACATCCTGCTTCCAGAGAGTTATTTATCTCCTTAGTGCCTCCAAATGTGGTCATTAAACTGCCGCCTTATTGACAGGCTAAACTCCACCCCTTCACTCTTAATTCTCAAATTGACACCAGATTATGTAACTACAACAGGGACCCATGAAAAATAAGAAATATCAAGTAGCTAATGAGAAATTTCAAGAGGTGGAAAAATAAATGCTTTGTGCCAATAGAGATGTTACCTATCCCCATATTAAGTCTGGCTCTCTTGCATTTTTATAAAATAGATATAGATTAATAACTTACACATTTTACCTCCAAAATGCAAAACACACCCAGCAATGGAAAGGATCTCTTTCATCTTTTTCCATATGTGCTGTATTGATCTGTGAACATCGGAATGTTTTCCTGCCCACTTGCATATCAACTTACTGACATTGGTATTACAGAACCATCCTTGCAAACCAGATATTTCAATTCAAGACTAGCTCCAGAGGCATCAGAGTGTAGCGGCCACACCAGGTGATGCTATCAGAAGGGGTAACTCCAAAATGATTGTACATAAAAGTTTTATGTAGTGCTTCAGGATAAATTTAGTATTTTCTATAAAAATAATCCTTGTAGTTAGTGATGACAACAATAACAGTTTGGGTCAGCACAGATCACATGCATCCCTTATCAACAAGTCTATCAAACTTTGTGCTAATTTCGCTTTTGTACCTTCAAATAGGTCCCAATCAGAATTGTCAGTATTATTCAATTGCCATGATGCTTGCAATCAGCAGGTTTTGTCTTTGCAGGCAGTAAGCAGATGCTTTTTGCTTTCACTGCTGCCAGTGTCTGTATAATTACTAATTTTGCCCAATTTTCTGGGAATTTTGCCACAATATTGTGCTAATTCGTATATGTGAACCTATCTAAAAAACTGAGCAAATAAGCAGAGAAGGTGGCTAACATGAAGAAGAACGTGGCATCAGGAAAGGCTTATTATCAACCTTCTATATGCAGATGCCACAACTTTGCTTTAGACTTCCTTGCTGATGAAGATCAAGGGACTACAGCCTTCGGTATGGATGACAACTCAATGTAAAGAAGACCAAAATCCTCACACCTGAACAGTAAGGAACATCATGATAAACAGAGAAAAGATCAAGATTGTCAAAGATTTAATCTTGCTTGATTCCTTAAGCAATGCTCATGGAAGCAGCGGTCAAGAACTCCTAATGACACATTGCATTGGGTGAATCTACTGCACAAGACCTCTTTAAAGTGTGGAAAAACAAGGATGCTACTTTCATGATAAAGGTGCCCCTCATCCAATCCATAGTATTTTCAATCTCATTAAGTTAGACAATGAATAAAGAAAGTCAAACAAAAAATAAATGCTATTGAATGATAGTGTTTGCAATGAATAACGGAAGTACCATGGTTGCCAAAGAACAAACAGATCTGTCTTGGAAGAAGTAAAGCCAGTATGCTCCTTAGATGCAAGAATGGTGAGACTTTGTCTTCCAGACTGTGGACATGTTACCAGGAGAGCGCAGTCTCTGAAAATGGGACAGTCAGCATGCTTGGTAAAGCAGAGGGCAACGGAAAAGAGGGAGATCTTCAAAACAAGATGATTGAAACAGTGGTTTCAACTATGGGATCAAAAACAATCATCAAAATAACAATCTTGAGCATGGAACAGGATTAGGCAATGTTTTGTTCTGTGGAACATAGAGTCACTATGAGTCAGAACCAATTTGAAGGTACCTAACAACAAAAACTATATCTCAACAACTGTTTTGAGAAAGAAGTCATATTTAAATACAAAGAAGGAAAACAATTTAAAAGGCTTCCACTCAGTTACTAAAAATGTAATTCCATGTACAAAGATTTTACAAAATTTCTTTGTTGTTTATCAACTGCTATTGAGTGGATGTCGACTAACAGCAACACTAAAGACAAAGTAGAATTACCCTGTTGAGTTTCAGAGGCTATAAATTTTTACAAGCTCAGACAACCTTACCTTTCTCCCAAGAAGTGGCTGGTGGATTTGAACTTCAGGCCTTGCTGTAAGGAGCCTAATGCAGAACCCACTACTCCATGAAGAATCTTATTTTATTGTTAATATTCATATGAAATACATCGAAGGAATTTACAACCATATTTATTACATATTATCACATTGTTAAAATTGATAGTAAACATTACTAAGAATTCTCCATTGTTAACTATGGGGGAGGAGGTCCATGATCGTACCAGGTGACAGTATCAGTTACCTGGATTACAGTAACCTCAGTGGTGACACTCACTACCTGCATAGTTTACTAGTTCTGAGACCTTGAAAAACTTATTAAAGGTCTCTGCTTTTATTTTGTCACCACGAATGGAGGAAATAACAGCACCTACCTCCTTTACTCATGATGAGGATTAAAGGAGAAAACCTATAAGAGCATTGTGATGCTGGACGCCAAATATAAATATGAGCTGTTATTATTTATGTCCTAATTACCTTCTGCTTAAACAATGCATAGCGTGAGAAGTCACAAAATAATACAAGGACTCTACAGAAGGGTTTGATGAGCCTAGGCATTTTTTACAGGGTAGCATGTATATCTTGAGCTGATTTACACAAGGAGATCAACACCAGAGAAGCAAAGTGGGCTTCTGGAAAACTTCATTCATTCTCAGATGTGTTTGAACCAAACTGACACCTGAACAGTGACTTGGTTTAACTAAGATCCTAGAGATCAAAAATAGTCTTACTAAATAAAACTCTACTCATTGCCATCAATTTGATTTTACAATACAGAACAGAGTAACTGTCCCATAACATTTCCAAGGTTATTATCTTTAAGGAAGCAGACTACCACATCCTTCTTCCACTGAACACCTACTAGGTTCTAATTGTCAACCTTTGGGTTAGCAGCTGAGCACTTAACTACTTTGTCATTCAATGGCATATTTTTGATTTTGGTTTTGGTTTTAAAAATAACAAAATAAAGAAGAGAGCTCTAGTAGACTTAATTCTTTAACTTGGAAAATCAGTAAGAGTAAAATGAGAAGAAAATATTTATTCTTCTAGATATTGTATTCCTTCTTTGGAGTTATGTGTTTGAATTTACTAATTTGGAATATATAGAGTGATTTTTTTTTTGGTATGTCAACCTAAAGCAAGTTAGAAAGTTAAAAAAAAATCTAATCTATGCATTTTGCTTTTAATTAATTTCTTTTAAATTAAAGGCAGTTAAAGAAGTTAGGGAAGTACTTCGAGCTTATGACTTTGGAAATCCTGTTGAGAACATGAAACATTATAATCAGGTAAGTGCTACTTCTTAAGGGAAATAAAAATTTTCCATTAAATATTTATTATAAAACTATTTGACATTTTGTTGCTGTGGCTGTTCACTTCCTAAGTGGAAGTAGGTTGTGAATTCAGTAAATGTAATTTTTAAGCTAGAAATAGTATTTTGCTCTATGATTTCAACAAAGGGTCACTCAGTCTAAACAAACGTGTTTGTCTCATCATATGCTGCTGCTTTTAGTGAGGAATTAAATGTTCATATTTTTTTCCCTTGTTGTTTCCATCTAGCCCATTCCTCCCCAGTACAGCGTGAAGAACCTGAAAGTGAGGACCGCAGTGTGGCATGGTCTAAAGGACAACCTGGCTGACCCTGTGGATGTCAACTTTCTCCTCCCTCAAATCCCTAACCTCATTTACCTCAAGACACTGCCTTCATACAATCATATAGATTTTGTCTTTGGATATAGAGCTGTTTGGGATATTTACTCTGAAATTATTTATATACTAAAGAATTCCCCTTAAGATCTAAATACTTCTCATTTTTCTAGTGAAAAAAAAATTGAGAGCAATCATGCTGATTTCTTTTCTTTACAATAGACCACATAAATGTTATTAAATTTTTTTTCCGTTTCTTGAAATCTATCAAAAATAAATAAATAATTTCCTCAACCATGCCATTTGTATGCCTTTTAAAGAATTTTAACATGCTATCTGCAATTTTTTTTGCCAGACACAATCTGGGAACCAAATTTAATTGACTTTGTTCATCTCCCAAATATCTCTGAACTTGTCTCCTTCAATTCAAGTCCATCTTTTCTCAGTTATAAAAGTATTCTAGTACTTTATTTAATACATTTTTATGTATGAGCATCTCTTTGAAACAAGCACCATAATCATGACAATGAACTTATCCATCATCCACCAAAGCTCACCTTTGTAAACCTTCCATCCTTACTCTTTGTCTCTCTCTTTACTTTCAGTCAGTTACTTATATTTTCAGTTTGTTTCTTCTAGAAGGTTCCAGTATGTAGCTTTATATCATTGTGGTTTAGTTGCACTTTCCTAATGATTAATATTCTGCTGTTGTTCATAAGGTTTTTGGTGATTAATTTCTCATTGTAGTTTGTCCTTTGTCTGTAAGCTTAGCTGAAATCTGTTCCCTTTGGCTGACCCTAGTGGTGTTTCAAATACTATTAGCATAGCTTCCAGCATCACAGCAACCTGAAAGCCACTACAGTATGACAAATTGACAGATGAAGTGGTGCTGAAAGTAGAGTATACCAGAAAAGAATGGTTGCTTGTGATTTGTTGACTATGCTGAGGTATTCAAGTGTATAGATAACAACAAACTATGGATAATATTGAGAAGATGGGAAATTCCAGAACACTTCATTTTGTAAAGTTGAACCTGTATATGGATCAAAAGGCAGTTGTTGGAACGGAAAAAGGAATACTGTGTGGTTTACAATGAGGAAAGGTGTGCATCAAACTTCTATCCTTTCGTCATACTTATTCAATCAGCTGAGTAAATAATCTGAGAAGCTGGACTATTTAAAGAAGAATGTGGCACCAGGATTGGAGGAAGGCTTCATACAACATGGAATATGCAGATGACCCAACATTATTTGCTGAAAACAATAGGATTTGAAGTATTTTCTGTTGAAGATGAAGGTCTGCACCCTTTAATATGGATTTCAGCTCAACGTCAAGAAAACCTAAATCATAACAACCATCTTGATAACTAGAGAAAGGATTGAAGTTGTCCAAAATTTCATTTTCTTTGGATCCAGAATCCACACTCATGGAAGCAGCAATTAGGAATTCAAACAATGTTTTACATTGGGCAAATATGCTGCACAAGACCTCTTTAAAGTATTGAAGAGCAAGGTTACCACTGAAGCAGGGTATTTTCAATTGCCTCATGTAAATGTGGATGTTAGAGATCAAAGAAGGAAGATTGAAGAAGAACTGTTGTATTTGAATTATGATGCTGGCAAAGAATATTGAAAGTACCAGGGACTTCCAGAAGAACACACAAATCAGGCTTGGAAGAAGTACAGCCACAAGATGGCACCCAGGTGATCAGCACATACTGAGGGATCTTTCATGGCACGGTGGGTCTAGTGTCCAGGTGGCCTAGTGGAAGGATTCTAGGGAGTGAGAGAACCCCCTGGGACAATACCCCCAACACCACCACCCACACACACATCTGTCTTGAGCAGGAGCCCCTGAAATCTGATCCTTGGAACATCTTGGTTCATCAGGCAGAGCGACCCCAGCACACATGTCGCCACCGCTGCCATGATCAGCGATTGACCCACTGCACCCCCAGGCTGGACTTCCATGCCAGGAGTTGCTTGGCTGCCCCACCAAGGCACATGAAGCTGTGCCAAGACCCCCTGCAGCAGCTTCCCACTTGTGGTACTCCACTAGGAGAGAAGTTTCCCTTTCCTGCAGTTCCCTTCTCCCCATGTGGCAGTGATCCACCTCCAGGTTTGGGTCTCTCCTTCCATTCACCCAGGGCCCTGGTAACTGACCTGCAGTCTACTTGTAGCTGGTTAGGTAACTTGCGACTGGGGGTGATCCACCCCCACTATTGCCTGGGACCGCACCACCTTTGCCTTCTATTAGGCATCTTTAAAAATTAGAAGGAAAAGTAAAACAATGTTTTTAATTAAACAAGAAAAAAGGTTGCTAAGTGTGCCTGACAGATCAGGTCAAAGCAACCGAGGGAAAACAAATAGGCTCCAGCCCCCACTCCAGTCATTGAAACTCCTCACCGCTGTTGGCCACTGAACCATTGAGGAACTCTGTCTACACGGCAGTCGGACCCATCTCTATAGTAATCTCAGTCAGCCCACCAAAAGCATCCTTAACATTAACACAGAGAAAGAACTAAGGGCCCCCTTGTCTCCCAGGAACATGGGGCCTATGAAAGGATCAAGGAAAAATCAACAGACCACATCACTCTGAACAAAAACAACCAGAGAAACAAAACAGAGTAGCAGAAGTAATGACACTCCTAGAAAAGTCAGACATGGATCTGTCATAGGAATATATCTTCAGAAGTCTGCTCAGAGTAATGCAGGTGCTGAGGGAAGCAACACAGAATAAGGATGCAATGATAAAAGAGATGAAGTCCACAATAGAGGGCATGAAGTCCATGCACCAAAGGGAAATACAGGTGCTAACAGATGAGGAAACGGAAGCCACACACGAGATTACAGAATTTACAATTAGGCTTGAGGAGGCAGATAGCTATATCAGTGATCCCAGAGACACTCAAACAGACCTCAGCAAGCAAGAAAGACAGTCAGATAGGAAAATTAAAGAAGCAGAGATAACCTGATATCAATGACAGAGGTTATGAAGAGGAATAATATTCAAATAATTGGTCTACTGGAGCAGAAAACATCACACAAGTTAACAGCTAAGATAGCAAAAGAATTTCTGGAAGGAAACTTTCTCACCTTAATGAGTGAGAATCAGGTGCTCATACAGGAAGCAGAAAGGACACCAACTAGACTAAACTCCAAGAAGAACTCACCAAGACATATAACAGTAAAAATATCCAACTTTGAGGAAAAAGAGAAAAATTTAAGAGCAGCAAGAGAAAGGGAGAGCGTCACATACAAAGGAGCTCATGTAAGAATATGCTCAGAAGTATCAGTAGACACCATGAAGAGGAGAGAGTGGAGCAACATCTTCCAAAAGCTGAAAGAAAAAACGCCTCCCCAAGAATCCTTTACCCTGCCAAATTCTCCATTAAGGTAGATGGGGAGATAAGGGTCTTTCAGGACAAGGTAAGACTCAAAGAATATGCTGCAAGACACTCAACCCTGCAGAAGATACTGGCTGACTCACTATGGCCAGAGGATTCACCTCTATCAAGCACAAGCAGGAGACATATATCCCAACTCCATCCAAGCATATATCCCAACTCCATCCAGAAGCCAACAACAATTACCAAGATAACAGGGCCTCAGGGAAAATAGGACAAGAAAGAAGCCCCACACACAAACACAAGACACTGATATGAAGGGAGATAGGAAAACACCCAAAACACAAAACATGATATGACAGCAATGAATCCACAGATTGTGATAAAAACTCTGAAATCCAATGGCCTCAATTCATACATTAAAAGAAAAAGGCTTGAGGACTGGTTCAGAAAACATAACCCAACAATCTGTTGCCTGCAAGAGACACATCTTAAGTGCACAGAAAAAAAATAAATTAAGAATAAAGGGCTGGCGGAAAGAATACCTGGCAAATGGCAATTTAATAAAAGCAGGAGTGGCAATCTTAATCTCCGACACAATGGACCTCAAAGTTCAAAGTATAAAAAGAGAGAAGGAGGGGCACTATATAATGTTAAAAGGATCAGTAAACCAGAAACCAATTAGCATATTGAATATTTACATGCCTAACAATAGAGCAGCAAATTTCATCAAACTATTAAAAAGATGTAAAAAGAAATCATGGATTCAACAATTATAGTAGGTGACTTTAATACTCTGCTTTAAGAGAAATACAGATCACTGGGAATAAAGTTCAGCAAAGAGGCTATAGAGCTAAACTATGTAATTAGGCAACTGGGCCTAATAGATGTATATAGTTTTCTATCCAAACACAAAAAAATTCATATTCTTCTCAAACCCACATGTCTTATTTTCAAGAATAGACCACATGCTGGGGCACAAGTCAAGCCTTAGTAAATTCAAACACATAGAGATTATTCAGATGTCTTTCTCAAATGACCATGCCATAAAGCAAGAGATTAATAAAAGGATGACCAGAATAACAAGAGCAATCAATTGGAGGATGAATAACGATCTTCTGCGATATGCATGGGTACAGGCCCAGATTAGAGAGGATGTTAGGAAGTTTCTAGACACTAATGAGAATGAGAATACAACTTAGCAAAACTATGGGATACTGCGAAGGCAGTTATCAGAGGAGGCTTGATATCAATAAATGCATATATGAAAAAAGAAGAGAGGTGTATTACTGATATGTTATCACAAAACCTCCTGAAACTAGAATGGAGTCAACAGGACAACCCCTTCAATAGGAAAAGAAAAGGAATTATAAAAATCAGGGCAGAGTTAAACCAGTGGGAAGACATGAGAACAATGCAAAAAATAAACGCAGGCAAAAGCTGGTTCTATGAAAGGATCTGACAGACAGCTGGAAAACCTAACCAAGGAAAGGAAGGAGCAAACATCAATAGCCAGGATGAGGGATGAAACAGGGGTAATTACAACAGACCCCAGTGAGATTAAAAGGATAATCACAAAGTACTATGAAGGACTGTATTCTAATGAATTCTGAAACGTGGAAGACATAGATAAATACTTGGAAATAAACAGCCCCTCCCTAGATTATCTCAGACAGAGGTCAAGAACTTCAACAAACCCATAGTGAAAGAAGAAATAGAGAGGGTTATCAAGAAGCTACCTTAAAAAAAGCCCCTGAGCCTGATGGCTTCACAGCGGAATTCTACCAAGCATTCAGGGAAG